TGTTTCCTATTCTTTTTTGAGAATGCCTGTCCTCACTCTTTGTGATTTTTTCTTCCCCTCGTGATTTTGTTTCTTCTTTTATGACAATATATATGATTCCTCTGCTATGTTCATAATAATTACTTCTGTTTGGCCATAATTGTATTTCAGGTTTTAAAAAGTGGAGATCCCAGGGCAAATGAGATTGTCTTGTCAAATATGGCTGTTGCCTTTGATCGTATACTTTTGGACGTGGAGGTAATTCTACTCTAGATTTCCAACAAGTTATTTCTGTATCTTACATTTGTGTAGCCAGATTTCTGTTCATGGAAAGATTGAATTTGTTCATATCTCTTGTACATAATTTGGGAAAAAAATTTCAGGATCCCTTCATCTTCTCCCCATATCACAAAGCAAGGAGAGAGCCATTTGATTACTACATGTTTGGTCAAAATTATATTCGACCTTTGGTCAACTTCAAGTGAGTTGATATTTGCGACATTTCTCCTTCTTTATTTGCTTCCATTTGGTTGTGTTGAAGTGGTTTGCACTTATAGTTAGTGTTGGCTATCAAAATTCTAATATTTGGTCATTTCTCCAAAATCACTACTTCCTGTTCATGTTATCAGTATGTCTTTAATATGTAGATGTTCCTTTTAATTTTATAATAATTTGTCAGGAGCCCTTGACATGAACTCCAACAATGCTGTGGTAGTGAACTGAAAAAGTCCTTAGGAGAAATAGAGTAGAGTTTAGAGATGAGCATAATATGAAGAAGAGGGAGAGAGATGAGAGAATCGAGAGGAAATCCCAAATGGGAATGCTGATTGAGTATTCTCAATATTGTCTGGAAAATTAGCATAATCCTGCACATTGTGGTTGCACTTCATTCCTACCTTCTTCTGAAAAATGTGCTCAATACGAACATAATTAAAACAAACAACAAACTAGCACAAAAGAAGAGAGAATTGGCTAATGAAATACTGTTTCAACCACCCAGCTTTCTCAGCAATTAGTTTTATTTTTCAGAAATGCATTGAAGTAAAAGATGCCAACCTGGACGCCAGCTCACTCATCCTTGCTGTTTCCTTTTTTTTTTTGAAATAAAAGTGAGAAAATATATTAAATATAGGCACTAAGGGGATGCCACCTGTATACAAAAGATTTACGGATTGGTAAGAGTATCTACAATAGAAGCAAAATAAAAAATACTATTAAGGTTGTGCTGAAGAACAATAAAACCAAACAGGTACAACCATTTATCCTTGATAGCGACAAAATCTGATTCTTTACCCTCAGAAGCTCTGTTGTTCTTTTCTTTCCAAATAATCCAAAAGATAATCAGAGGAGTGATTTTCTTATTAAATTTTCTCTTGCACAGGCCTTCCCAGGCAAAAAGTTCATCCTTAACAGACCCGGTAGTAACCCAAGATAAATTCATGATGTTTAAAACCATTGACCAGAGAGATTGAGAGAAAGGGCAGCAAATGAGCAGGTGAGAGCATGTTTCCACATCAGTTTTACATAAAAAGCATCTATTAACCATAGTGATACCTCTCCTTTGAAGATTATCCAAAGTTAAAAGGCATTCTCTAGCAGCTTCCTAAGCAAAAAAGGAAATTCTAGGTGGAACCTTAGAATTATCCTTGTTGTTTCCTTTGTTATGCCTCTTGTAATCTATTAGCTGATTTTCCTTTTCTTTTAACGGTGCTGGGACTCAAGTGCTGACATAATTCTGTAAGTATATACAGTTCAGTCTATGTATAGATTACGTGCATTTATATGTCCAAATATTAGTTTTTTTGGAATGTCCAAAGAGTAGTTAGAATAGCATAATAGGAAACTACTTTCTTCCTCTATCTTTGTTTGACATTTGTTTCCAATATGGTACCAGAGCTGAGCCATGATTGCTGCATATTCTTCATAGCCAACCTTACCCTTGATAGTCTTTCTTGAGACCTTGTTCTAGCTGAAGAAAGAGTAGCATCATGCGATTTAATATTAGGTTATTCCACGCCAAAATCAAAGTTTTTTGTTCTGACAATGGCATGAAATGTGGACAGTGCTTCTTAGAGTATTTTGATTTCCATAGGCCGGTGCATCAGACTAATTGTGTTAATACTAGTACTCGAAATGAGGTTTTTGAGATAAAGAATAGGCACTTGTTAGAGTTTGAACTTTCATGTTCTCCATGGCTATTCTAAAGCCTTACTGGGGGGATAGAATATTTACAACATGTCTGATCAATCAGATGTCACTAAAGATTCTTGGGTTCAAAAGCCCCCTGGAAATGTTGCAAGTTACTAACTCCTATACTGTTTGCCCTAAGGTTTTGGTTGTCTGTCTTGTTCGTACCAAAACATAGAAAATTTGTACGGGAAACATAGGAAACTTAGAACTTTGAGCTCTCAAGTTTTTTTTTTTTTGTTGGGTATTCTGCCATGCAGAAATATGGGTTTCATATTTTGCTAATTGGAACCATATTTTACTCGACTCCAGTTACCTCTTTAAAGGAAGAATAGGGAAGAAGAAGAGGTAAAATTCCTGCTTAACAAGAGTCTTTCCTATCCATACTACCTACTTTTATTCCTTGTGAGGGTGGTGGCAACCCGAATGGTCTTGATCGTGGCAGACTAGATAGGTATGATATGAGATTTTATTCTAGCAACACAAGACTATTGAGCAAAGTTTACCCAACGAATTATAGATACTAGATTCAGTTCCTAAAGAGATACCCGCTAAGTTTAATGCTACTTATGATTCCCTTAACCTAGATTCCAACGGTGATGATCTTGATGTTCCTATAAGAGTTAGAAAAAGGAAGCTATAATTTTGTCTCATATAGTTTTCTATCCTCTACCTATATAACGTTCTTATCATCATTGTCTTCTTTTTATTTCATAGGATTGGCAAGAAGCTCTGAGGAGTTGAGAGTCAAAGGCAACTATAAGTGGAAGCAGAGTTTGGGAGATAAAATAAGAGGTTCTTCTCTCATTTCTTGCTTACTAAAATAGAGAGGGTGAGGTGCCATTTATAGGCACTCATTGCCCTGATGTCACACCAATGATGAGGGTATGAGAGAAAAACAGAAAAAGAAAAATAAGCAATAAATGTAACCAATTTTTGATGGTGATGTTGGACATTCCACCTGTCCAGAAAGAGTAAATACTAAACTACCATATTCTAACATTTTCTACACTCTCCCTCAATTCAGGTTACATATATATTGAGTAATTGTAGATTGGATATAATATTATTAAATTTTCCTGTTAGTAGTGTTTTCGTAAGGATATCAGCAGTCTGAAGATCAGTAGAAACATAATGTAGGGTAATGGTCTTGTCTTCTATCTTCTCTTTAATGAAATGACTATCAATCTCCACATGCTTGGTTCTATCATGATGCATTGGATCTTTGGCCATACTGATGATTGATTGATTATCACACTAGAGTTTCATAGGATTAGGAATACTAAAGCTTAGTTCAGATAGAATCTTCTTCAGCCATACACCTTCACATATTCCACGAGTAAAAGACCTCAATTCAGTTTCAGCACTACTTGTATATACAACTGATTGTTTCTTATTTCGCCAAGTGATTAGGTTGCCCCACACATATGTACAGTAGCCACTTGTTGATCTTCTATCAATCACTGATCTTGCCCAGTTAGCATCAGTGAATATCTCAATGTCTCTGTTTATTGTTTTCTGGAAGAACAACCCCTGACCAGGGGTTATCTTTAAGTACCTCAGAATCCGGTGAACGACACTCATATGTTCTTCAGTTGGTTCAGCCATAAACTGATTTATAGTGCTCACGACAAAAATAATATCAGGTCTGGTACGAGCAAGATATATAAGTTTGCTAACAAGTCTCTGGTATCTTTCTTTATTAATAGATTTGCTATCATTTTTGAGACCGATTTTGACATTGGATTCTATCGGTGTTCCTATAGGTTTACAACCAAGCATACCTGCTTCCTTTAAAAGATTTAAAACATATTTGCGTTGTGAAACAGAGATACATTTCTTAAATCGAGCTACTTCCATCTCTAGAAAGCATTGAAATCACCCAAGGTTTTTGATCTCGAATTCTGTGGCTAGAAACTTTTTGAGTTCTAGAATTTCTTCATCATTATCATCTGTTAAGATAATGTCATCAACATATACAAGTAGGATAGATTTCTTTCCCGTGACACTGCTTTTGGAAAAAAGGGTGTGATTAAATTGACACTGAACATATCCCATCTGTTTTACTGCTCTTGAGAATCTCTCAAACCATGCCCTTGGAGACTGCTTAAGGCCGCAGAGAGTCTTTTTTAGTTTGTATACCTTTTTAGACTCGATGCTAAGTACATGAGGGACTTGTATGTAAACTTCTTCTAGATCTCCATTGAGGAAAACATTCTTTACATCCAGTTGATAAAGAGGCCAATCAAGATTTGAGACCAAGGAGAATGGAACTCGTATTGTGTTATTTTTAGCAATTGGGGCAAAAGTTTCCTGATAGTCAATCTCATATGAGTGAGTGAAGCCTTTGGTAATAAGGCGAGGTTTATGATGGCTCACAGTTCCCTCAAGATTATACTTTGCGGTGAATATTCATTTTCCCCCTACAGGCTTTTTCTCTGAAGCTAATTCAGATAGTTCCTATGTCTCATTCTTCTCAAGTGTTGTGATCTCTTCTTGGATTGCGGCTTTCCATTCTGTGAGTTCAAGTGCCTCATGAACAGTTCTTAGGATACGGTTGTTATCGAGTTTATTAACAAGTGCATTGTATGGTGGAGACAACTTGTCATATGACACATAATCCTGTATGGGATGCATGGTGCAGGATCGGACACCTTTTCTCAAGACAATAGGAAGTTCAATATTAGTGTCAATATTAATCATTGAGTCGAAAATTTCATTACCTATAATATTATGTGTGCTTGGTATAGCAGTTGACTCATGACTTTGCGTGGTTGATTCAAGAATTCTACTATCTTGAGTTTTATTTTTTTTGGTGTACGCCTGTAGCTTACTTTTTGCAGGTAATGTGCCATCAGTATTTATGTCATTAGTATCTGTGGTAGGTTTCGGTTTTTGTATGATTTCCTAGATATGAATATTCTGGGAAGATGTCGACAAGATTTGAGGTGGAAGAGGGCTTATATCACACAACTGATATTTTTTAGGGAAATTCTCCTCCTGAATATTAGTTGTGGGATAAAATGGTTGATTCTAAAAAAAAATTACATTCATAGTATTGTAAAAACGATGAGTACCTGGGAAAAAATATTTGTATTCTTTTTTATTTGAGGAATAACCAACAAACACACATTTAAGAGTCCTTGAATCAAGTTTCCTCTTGAGGTGAGTGTAAATGTGAACATAAGCGGTGCAGCCAAATATTTTTAATTGGACAGTGTTTAAAACATGAGATTTTGGAAATGCCTGAACGAGAGTTTTATAAGAAGTTTTGAATTTTAGTATCCGAGTGGG